CCTCCTCCATTGCTGTGGAGATGGAAACAATTAGATTGGAGGTTGTTCATCATCTTGCCCTCACCAGTTGCACCTGACAGGTTGCAGCCTTATTCTACTCTTTGCCTTCCCTCCTTTAAAGTGATGGACGGCCCATGTTTCTCTCCACGCTGCAGGAGATCCCATCTGTGCCCATCCCACCTCCTCAATGAAATTATCCCGGCAACGATCTCTTCTCTTGCCCGCCTTAATCAGTTTCTCCCTCTGCCATCACTGTGCAAACACTCCATATGCTACAGCTCATCTTGAAATACAACTTCCCTGAGAAAAATCGGAAACTTCACAGGGGAGAAACCCAACAAATACCACCTCGGCCAACTGATGAAGGTTAACGTCAACGGTGAGAAGTCACACTGAGAGTATGTACCCTTGATACGATGGCATGAGACTGGGTCTTTACGTCCGCTGTCATCCCCACCCCACCCCAAAGCCCATGATCTCTTGTCTAACCATGACAATAACCTGTGACAAATCCAAATTGAAGGATGATGTTATATAAGAATATCTGAACAGCACTTCTCAAGACTGTCAAGGTCATCAACAACACGGGAAGTCTGAATGACTCCTGTTGATGGACCATGAAACTATCACAGTCTAGAGAAGCCTGAGGACACATGACAATTACATGAAATGTGGTATCTTGAATAGGATCCTGGAACAGAAAAGAAATCCACTGGACCAAAAACTAAGGAAGTTTAAATCAAGTACAAATCTTAGATAATAAGAATGTTATCAATATTAGTTTCTTAGTTTGACGTATGTACCACAGTAACGTTAGCAATGGAGGGAACTGCGTGTATGGGCTCTCTATAATATTCTCACAACTTGTCTGCAAATCTAAAATTATTCTAAAACAAAAGTTCATTAAATATTAGAAAGCAAAACAGCTTCTTCTTCCAGCTTTACTCCATTTCCCTGCTTCCCTTCACAGGGAAACTTCCTTAAAGAGTTGTGTGTTGCTGTGGTCTCTATCCACTCTCTGCTCCAGCCAGCTCATTCTTCAACCACTCCCATCAAGCCGCTGTGCTGTGCTCTCTACCCAAAATGCATTGTGCAAGGTCAATGAGGATCACCATGTTGCCAAACCCCAGAGCCAACTTTGTGTCCTTCTCTTACCTGATCTTTCAGCCGAGCGTGTGGCCCAGTTAACTGTTCCTTCTTCCTGGAACACTCCCTCCTCTTGGCTCTTGGGATGCAACACTCCCGGGTTTTTTCTACTTGCTGCTTCGGCTCAGCCTCTTGGCTGGCTCCTCCTCTGACTTTGACTAGCACTTACATGGCCTGGGGCTCTACCTTAGAACTGGACTGTCTGCCTCTGCTCTTACCTGCTGGGTAATTTAATCCAGTCTCATGGAGTTAAGTACAATTTACCTGCTGTTGATTCCCAAATTTATATCTCCAGGCTTCACCTCTGAGGCAGGGACTCTTAACCATGCCCAGTGCCCAGGGAGGCAGACACAGGCTCTCCGGCATTAAGGGGCTTCCCTAGTTTACGCAGCTAGAAGCCACAGAGTGAGGGCCTGAGCCCAGGTCTGTCTGACTCCAGGCCTGTGCTGTGAGTGGCCAGGCTGCCGTCTCCCCAGTCCCAGTGTCCTGCCTGCTCCCCGGCATCTCCTGCATGTGCTGTTCTGGCCTTATGCCTTTGTCCTGCTCATCTGCCCAGTATTTGAGACAGGGACTACCTAAAAAAAATGGTGGGCCCTGGGCCTCTATCACGGTATGCCACCTCATACAGGAGAATTACTCAGAATTGCTCTTTTTTCTGCTCTTAGCTGGTAAGCTCTTGAAGAGATCATGACTTCACCAAAGGAGTATCATTTTAAAAAACCGTGAGTGTGTGTGTGTGTGTGGGGGGGGGGGGAGGGGGTAGCATTAAAACTTTAAAAGTCTTGGCAAAGTCACAAGCAATCTGGATCCACCAGCACTTGGGCGTAATGGAAGGATCAGGGTTCTAAGGTGTAGAGAAGGGTCACCTAGCTTTTTCTAAACATTTTCGGCTTTGGGGGCCCTCTGAGCTCCATCAGAGCTCTGCTGGTATAGCAGGAAAGCAGCCATGGACAATATGGGAGCACATGGGCCTGGCTGCCTTCCAATACACTTGTGAATCCTGAAATTTGAATTTCATATCATTTTCCTGTGCCACAAAAGGTTTTCCTTCTTGTAATTTTGTTCAATTATTAAAACATTTTAAAAGCCATTCTTAGTGTGAAAGTTGTACAAAAATAAGAGACTAGATAACCTGAAAAAAAAAAAGTCTCTTCTCCTGATTCTGCCTGGGTGGTCATGGAAGTGAAGGGATTGATTTCGATTTCACAAAGGCCACCGAGAGGCCAAGCAGTTCCCTCTGGGACCATGGAGTTCAAAGGAATATGCTGGAAAGGCTGGTTCTAAGACTGACGGTTGTGAGCAGAGGCTGCTGCTGGCTCTCTCCCCAGCCCCTGCATGACCCTATAGGGACAGCTGCCTGTTCATAAGCAGGGCACGACTTAGAAAAGTAAAATGTGAATTTGGGAACCATCATGCCCTGTCTCTGCCTGAGGCGGTCTTGGCCCTTCCCCTCCCACCTTTACATTCTCCCTGGGAAGGCCCCACTGGAGCCCTGCCACCTCCACACTGAGGTCCTCCCTGACTGCTAGTACCCATGCTGCCCCTTCAAACCTTCATCTCGAAGTGCAGACTGTTTGTTACGTGTAGACCAGCACAGCTCTCACGCTGTTTCTTGTAGCCTTCTGAAAGCACGACTGTGACTTCTTTCCTTGGGTAACCACCCCCCACACCCCAGGATACAAGAAAGGGCCCAGTGGCAGACAGAAAACTAGGCGGAAATATGGCTGATACAACATGGCGCCCAGTCTTGAGCAGGTTCCCAAGTGTTCATGTTGCTGTCTCCTTCCTGTCAGCTGGCCTCCAGTGCCTCACACAGATCGGGGTCGGCGTGCGTTGTCTGTAAACTAAACTATTTACTAGAGGCTTTGCTTTACATCGGTGTAGCCCGTGACAAATCTCCACAAAACAAGAGCCACCAACAATGGTAGGATCAGAACACTTTAATAAGATATCAGTGTCAAAATACATTTCCTTATAAAGTTAAGCTCCTCTATAATAATGTTGTCAGTAAGAGTTTGACAATACAGTAATGTTCATGAACTCGTTACGTTGACAGGTAAGGTTAATATGAAGCTTGGAATATTTTTCAGAGTGTTTTAGTAAAACTGCAAGGGTAAAATGCCCTTAATGCTGAGGCAACACACACAGGAAATCAAACACCAGCGTTTACACGTCAGTAACCCTTCAAGTTCTGCCGCCGTGCGTGGGGCCAAGCGGTGGTGCTACAGTGTGATTTGGTCAAGGCAGTGACCAGGTCATTTTTCTCCTAGATTGCTTTTGAACTTCAGTTTTTTGTTGTGTTTTCGGCAATAAGTCCATCCAGCTTTACCAAATTCTTGGCCTGCCGTGCTTTGTGTGTTTCTAGAAATTTCCTCATTGTACCCAGGACAGAAGAGCTCCATGTGATTGGTATTTAAAAACCAAAAGGTATTGTCCCTCTTAACCAGTGGGTTATAAAGTGCTCTGAGAACACTTGATTTTCAGTGCTTCCTACCTAAGTCACTTCAGGTGACAGACCTTGGGGAAGGCCTGAGGCTAGGGGCCAACCAGGAAGTCTACCTGCTGCTCCTGGCAGGGCCACCTGACAGCAGGCTGAGGAAGGGGTGTGGGCCTGGTCAGGACCAGCTATACCCCCTTTCCGCACCCTCTTTCAGGCCAGCTCCATGTGCTCCAGGCTGGTAAGCTGGGAGGACCGTGGGCTGGATCACTGCACCATTTCTGAATCCTCACTTTCTTTCCTGAATTCCCACTGAAACCATCTCATGGTAATTCTGGAAATATCCAAACGTGCCACGTGAAAGACCTTTCGAGTCCCATAGCTCAGTGCACTTGAAGGGCTAGCAACAAAATCTGAAGAAAAATTAAAGCACTTCCCCTCCCTTAGATTCGCCCCACCCTCACCCCATAACATGCCATCAGACCCTCTTGGCAGCAATAATAATATACATACATACATACATACATAATACATATAGAACATGAGAAGACAGCTCGCAATGCTCCCAACACTTCATGATTCCACGTCTTGGATTGTTTGTCACGCCCATGGCATATCCCCAGAGCCAAAAGCCAACAGCGAGAGACCTTGAGCAGAGCTAGGACAGACCCAGGGGAGTGGCGAGCGATTGCAGTGTCGGCAACACCAGGAGAGAGAAAACCAACACCTTACGAAAAATATCTTAAAGTGGTTTTGTGAGCAGGATTCCATTTGTTTCTAAGTTTTTAGATATTACAAAGTACCCATCTATATGATAAACACATTAACCCAGGTATAAGTTTTCTTTAAAAAACTCAGTTATGTTTTTGAATAATAATTAACAAACAAATCCACCAAATGCGGGAGAAGAACCCCAAACAGTGAGGGAAAAGCCACATTGCACAACCTTCACAGACAACCACATACGCTGGAGTTCACCCTTCACATTTCTTTTTCCCAAAAGTTGTGTCAAGATTAGAGCTAAGGTAGGCTTAAGAAGAGAAAAAAGATGGAAATTTACCATAGGGTGATTAGTTTTAAGAAAGAAAGGAGAAGGGCTTTGAGAGGAACAGGCCTCGAAAGTCCAGCTCGGATAGCAAAATCACTTTGTTTCTCTTTGGCAACAACAACAACAACAACAACAACAACACTACCTTTTTTTAGTTAAATGAAGCCAAAGCTTTCCCGACAAGAGACCAGACTTAACACACAACTTGTTAGTATGGGTACTGTGTGTGTGAGAGAGCGAGACAGAGGGACCCATGAATAATATAAATTAGAAGTAATCGAAGTTGGGAAAGAAAAATCTTACAAAATTTAAGAACACGTTCATTGACAGAATAAAACGCAGCAGGGAAAACGGTGTATTTAAAAATACAGCTACTAAAGTGAGCATCTTTAGAAAAAGGCCACTACTTGGTGACGTGGGCAGGTTTGCCAGGTAGGTACATCTTGTAAAAAGTGTGTTGGTGTTAGAGATACCTAGTTGCAAAAGTAGACGTAGAGAGTGAAGCTGGCAGGGCGGTGTGGGCCGGGGGGGCGGGGGGTTGGTGGGGAGCCGCCCAAGGGGGAGCCCTGGCTCAGGTGGCCTGGTCCAGGGCTCTGAGGAGGTCCCCTCCTTGCAGGAGCGTGGAGCTTCCTGGCACCGGAACATTCACCTCACAGTCATATCTGGTCAATTCGGGCAGCAGGTAGGGCTCAAAGGAGGGCCCGAGCAGCCGACTGGCCATGCCTGAAAGAATGGTTGGTACCGTGTGTTTAAAGCTCTCGGTCAAACATTCCAAAAAGGGTCTCTTCCATAAGAGGGCTTCTGGGATGTTTCCCCCAAGCCACCGATTATATTCATGTCAAATAGCAACCCTTCTGGGGTGGTATCTAGGATCTGTAAGACGGGAACAGACACAGGCAGTCCAGGGTAGGGTGCGGGGGGAGGGGGGGGTCTGGTGGCTAACCCTCCCAGAACTCTCCAGGCCACCCCGCGGCAGCGCGTTCTCTGTGCATGTCCTCAGCTCAGTCCTTGCCCGAAGGCAGAGCGATGCCCCTGCTGTGAAGGAGGCAGTAGGCAATATGGCACCCTGAAACCCTGAGCAGAAGACACGGGCTTGGGGACTCTTCGGTCCGAAGAGCCCTGGATGTCCCTTCTAGAACTCTGGGGGCAGACGGCATGCGGCCCCTGCTGTACTCCTTCTGGGAAAGGCAGCTGCCCTCCGAGGCGGCAGCCCCCTCCTCGTACTGAGCTGAGCCCTGCTGCCCGGAGGTTCCAGTTCCCGAACGCACTCACCTGACACCTTGTGAGCCGAGGGCAGGCTGTAGTCCTGGTATGGAGGCACGTAACACTGCGGGGGGAGCCCCCTCTTGGCGTTCTCCCCACGGCTCCCGGCAGAGGGTGGTGGTGGCAGGTGCCTCAGGGGCTGTCCGAGGCCCCTCATGGGATTTTGGGTGAACTCGTCTGAAAGACCAATGCCAGCAAGTGAGGGCAGTGCCAGGCCCAGGCAGGGGAGAGACTGCAAAACCCCTCGCAGCCCCCTTCCTTCACAAAAGGTGCTCAGAACGAGAGCCAGCGCCAGTGGCACCAGTGCCCAGCACGTCCTGACTGTATCATCTGAGCCTAGTGGGAAGGGGGAGGGGGTGTGCGTGGGGTGGCACGGGACCCTGGCCTGTTCCGCCAAGGCTCAGAGAGGCAGGTGCTGAGACCGTGGAGGAACGCAGAGGAGCCCCTGCAAATGCTGTCCTCACAGCCCCCCAGGAGGCCTGGGCCTGCCGCTTACCACTGGGGAGGTTTGCGCTCAGCAGTTTGTTGGGCATCAGAGGGCAGCTCACGTTGCCCCTGAGGCTCTTCATCCTTTTCCACACCTGATGCGAGGTGCTGCTGCTCGATGGGTCCCCCTGGATGTAGAGGCGAGAAGGCCAGAGAACCAGGTCCTCAAACTGAGTTGGCGGTACGGTGGGCCTGCGCCGGGGCTGGTGTGCTCTCTGCAAGGCCACATCCACACCCCTCCCCGCTGCCCCTGGCAGGCTCTCTGGGCCCTCACAGCCATTGCGAGAGTTTCCGGCCGGGCCGGACCTCCGCCCTCAGCCCTGTCTCCACACCCAGCTGCGCACCCCCCACCCCGCCCCCCGTCCCGGGGGCTGTGGAGGGAACCCAGACGGCGCCAGGCAGGTGGCTCACCCCGCTCATGTCTTGGAAGGCTTGTTCCTCATATTCTCGCTGTCGCTTCAGCTTCAGCTTGTTGGCCAGGGCTACCATGGCTGGGCTCAGCACATCTGGGCCTTGGGGCCCAAAGCCCTTTGCAGACCTGCCAAGTCCGAGAGAGAGAGAGCTGTGAAGGAGTTGGGAGCCCTACACCCCTCCTGTTGTCAGCGCCTTCAGAGGGCCCTTCCAGAACTAATACTTGCCCGCGCTGGCTCAGAGTCCCAGAGGAGGGGTTAGTGGGCTTGAGATGCTGATGGTTCAAGTTACCTGTAACTCCCTCCACATCTGCCTGCCCGCCCAGCTGTATCCGGGCAGCCTCATTTGTGGCTGCACAGTGGGTGACACTGGTCTCGAAAACCTCAGTCTTCTGTCCTGTCTCTCTCCAGCACTGCTGGGGCAGCTCCCCAGTGAGGATGGGCAGGCGCCCCAGGGAGCGAGAAGCCACAGATCAACCACTGGGACTCGGCCCAGTGAGTGCCCCGCTGGTTGACACGGGCCTTGCTGGGGAGATGGGAGGAGCCCGGAGAGGCTGCTGCGGTGGAACCAGGTACAGCCAACAGGCAGGGGAGAAGCAAGGGCCTCTTTTATGCTTTTCTCAACCAGGGTTCCAGCAGAGAACTAAAAGGAGTCATTCAAATACTTGTGTGCATCTGTGCCTCGGCTGATGAGCCCTGGTCTGAAGGGAGAGACAGTGGTGTTCAAGGCCCGCAGCAGGCCCCTTCTCTCTGCCTCGGCCCTGACAGAAATGTGTCCTCACATACCTCAGAGTGATCCCCCCAAGGCCTCCATCCTCAGAGCACAGGGAAGGCTGTGGCAAGGGAGGAACAGGGAGCCTTTCTGGGACCCCAGAGCTCCACCCTACCCCCTGCCGTGGGAGCCTCTGCGGACGCAGCCAAGGGAAGCTCACCTTTTCTTGAACATGGAGAGATGAGGTGAGGTGATGGGGGCGCCCAACAGTGATGGCCCCAAGGACTCCGTGTGCTGATCTGCAGCAGGCCACTTAGTGGGCCCAAAATGTAATGGTGGGTCAGGGGGCCACTGGGTGTTGGATCTGCCTCCCATGGAGGAGAGAGGGGTGCTGGTTTGACCACAGCACGGTGCCAGTGACACCTTACTCCCGCCATCAAAGAAGATGGAGGACATAGGCTGGTGCTCAGGCTCTATCTTCTTGCTTCCCAGCTGCTGCTGATACTTGTCCAGGAGGAAGGGCCCATGGGAGGCCATCGGCGCCAGTGGCTGGAAGATGTTCGTCATGGTGCTGAAGCAGTGCTGGGGGGTGGACTGCGGCTTCTCCGGCAGGAGCCTCTCTTCGGGGCAGATGGGACTGAGCTGGAAGTCTTCACCGTCCATGGGGATGTAAGGTGCCAGGGTCTCCAAGTCCAGCTCACTGAAGTCCGTCTGAGGACAGAGCAGAGGCAAAGGCACGGTGAGGTGGACATCACCTCGAGAATGCTATTCCAGCCCCTCCATGCCTCGCAGCCCTGCCTGTGTCCTCCCTCTCCTGCACCCCTTCCCTTCAGTAGGGTCCTTCCCTTGCTCTAGCACAGCCTTTGATCCCTGTGGCCCACCACCAGAAAACTCAGATTTGTCTCCTGGCCTGGGATGCTAGCCTTTCCAGGGGTTTGTGCCCCAAATCGCCACGCTCCACTCGGTGGTCCCTGCACGTTCCCCATGGGTGACCCTGCCTTACCCCTCCTCTCTCCCGTCTCCCTGTCCAAGCCCCACCCTCTCTCCTGTGGCCCCGGTGAGGCTGCCCCTGAGGCCCGTGGTGTACATGGTGGCTCGTGGGGAGTGAGGGACAGCTCTGTCCTCCTCTCCCGCACAGGCCTGAGCACAAAGTGCGTGCCCCGGCTTCGTCTGTGGCCTGCTTGTAGAGTAAGAGCACCCTGCTGGCAGAGAGACTTTCACAAAAGTTCTCCGGCATCGTGCTTAAGCTCCCAGTGTCCTGCCAGGCACTACGGGGTGTACCCAAAAGCCCACGGCAAAAAAGATGCCCTTGCTGGTGGGGGGGCAGTGGTGTGCAGCTTAGTGATGATGCGCTGCATGGCACCATGGAAGAATAGAAGCAGACAGAATCAAGTCCTGAGTAACGGACCCCTCAGGAGTTCAGAGGAGAGAGCAGGAAGGGTTCAAGGAGGGAAGTTGTGCCGAATTGCGGAAGCTTGCACCAGGCAGGCCGAAGAGACCAGCTGAGCAGCAAGGGGATTTGTTAGAAGAACTGGAACTAAAACGAAAGGGTCCTTAAACATCCACCCACTTCGTCCCTGTTTTTGTAATTTTTCAGGAAGACCAGTCCCTTTCAAGGACACTGCCCATGTGCATTCCTGAAAAGTTGTGTGTAAATGAAAATCTCTCAGTCAGAGGTCCTTCTAAGATGCGTTTAAAATAAAAGTTGCTATTTCAGAATCCAAAGATGAACGTGTTTGTGAGGAGAGTAATTGTCCTTTGTGGTTTATAAGCCTCTCACAATTCTGAATCTACTCTTTAAACATAGGGCTTCTTTAAGAAAGGATTCATGGTGCACATGAAAAGCTGGCCCCAGTAAAGAGTGCACGAGCTGGATGGGGCCTGCAAAGCAGAGGACAGAGGTGGGAGAAGAGGACTACCCCAGGCTCCCCTTCCCATGTAAGACCAGGGCCTTGGCCAAGTGCCCCCACTGGTCTCTGCAACAAAGGGATGAGGCTGCAAGAACGGGTGTGAGCCTTCACCACCCACCAGCGGGCAGGCACAGCCCGTCTACCTGGGTGCCGCCCTGGTCCTTTGCCTCTGTATCCATCGTGAAGAGCTTCTCGATCACTTCAATCTTCAGATCATCATTCAGGGATGTGTAATAGTCTCCGGGGCTGCTGGGCTGGGGGCCAGGAAGGAGAGCGACCAAGTCAAGAGGAGGGCACTGCTCTCCCCAGAAGTCCAAGGTGAAAGGAGCAATACATGCCTACACTCCCAGATTCGTCCCCAGTCCGCGGCACAAGTATGTGTAGAGGGACCCCTCCTTACAAGAAGGCCATGGCCGGCGGGGCTCTGGGAACTACGGCTCTGTGCCCCCAGCAGGACGGTGATGGCCCTGCCCGGGGCCTGAGCTATGGGCTCAAAGCTGTGTGCCACTCAGCCCCCAGCTTCAAGGAACTTGGCATTTAGATGGGGGTGCACACAGAGCACATGGCTGGAACAGCGGGCAGTAAGTGTCCCCATGCCCCTAGGGGAACTCCGGGCCGTATGCCTAGGTGGGCCATCTACTCGGCCATCCTGCAGCAGCCAAAAGGGGCAGCCCACCCTTTCCATGTCCGTACCCCAAGGCAGGGTGCTCACCGTGGAGCAGCTGCTGCTGCTGCTGCTGCTGCTGCCACTTGGGGTGGCGCTGCCGGAGGCCGCCGCTTGGGGCACGGTGAAGGCGGGCAGGCTCCCCGGCTCGCTCTGGCTCCTCGGCTCTCTGGTCCACGGCTGGCTTGGGGGCAGCAGGGTGCTGCCGTAGGATGAGGCCTCCTCGAAGCTCTGGCTCCCTGTGGAGACACGGGCCTGGCTGGTTACCACCCACAATCCCTGGCCTTACCCCCGGGCACAGAAAGTCCAGAGGGTGCACGGAAGGTCCTCGGAGGGTCGGAAAGCATGTCTGGGGGCTTTCAGCCTCCGAGGCCCCACTGCAACTACGGGCCCTGAACCGGGATTTTGAGGCAACGAACTGCCTCCCTTGGAAGGGAGGGCCCTTCTGGAGCGTTTCCTTGTCAGAGACTACAGGTAACTAGGGCCCGCCTCCTTGACAAGGGGTCGGGAATGTCCACGAGGAGGAGGTTGTAAGAGTTCCTCAGTCCTGCCACAACACAGGGCCACTGCGAGACTTCTCGTCCCGGGGCCACTGCCCTTTACAGTTTCTGAAGTCGCAATCCCCGCGTGGCCTCTCCAGAGCACTTCCAAAGAGGCCAAGCCACTGTAGGGTGAGCAGGGGGAGGTGCTGCTAGCCCTCGGGCAGGCACGGGAGGCTGGGGAGGGTGATGGGGGTCACAACCTGGGAACAAGGGGTTTCCCAGGTACACATCGAAGGTGTTTCCAGCATGGGAGGGGGACAGGGCCGAAAACTCTGCCCGGGGCCACACATCTGGACATGCCAACATTTTAATTTTTAAGAACGGGTGCACAGGGTGGGGGGAGGGGCAGAGGGAGAGAGAATCTCCAACAGGCTCCACGCCCAGCACCGAGCCTAACATGGGGCTTGATCTCACCACCCCTGAGATCATGACCTGAGCTGAAATCAAGAGTTGGATGCTTCACCGACTGAGTCGCCCAGGCGCCCCGTGCACAGGCCAGCATTTTAAAGAAATAGTGCATATAAGGGCTTCATCCTGGGCCAGCATCTTTTCTCCCTCCACTTTTCTGGAATTATTTCTCCTACCATGTCAGCCTGGCCCTCTCCCTAAACGAGCAATCTGTCCTTTAAGGCCCAGGAGGAGCCACCCTCTCTGTGAAAACACAGCAGCAGCCTCAGAGCATCTCTCTTGTTGCCCCCTCCCTCATGTCAGACTCCACCCCCCACCGCCCCACCCCCCGTGCTGGAGAATCTACTGGCTCCTCAGGAGAGAGTCCCCAAAGCCTCCGCCCGTTCGGCACTTTGCAGAGTCCGAAGTAGGACCTTCTTACTCCGCGCCAGATGCGCGCATCGGTCTCTGGCACTCAGCAGAGAGTCTGGCCTCCGACAGAGGATTCACAGGGCCAGGGAAGGGGCAGGGGTTGAGGAACCCCTAAGCCAGAGAGGCCTGTTACAGTAAGAACCTCCTCCCCACCCAGAGAGGGTTGAGCAGTCCCCTGTTCAGCTCAGAAGCACCCACCGAAATCCAGAGAAACGATGACATCTCCTGCAGTGGGCGCTAGCTGGGCTAGCTCCTCGGGCTCCTCCTTCAGCTTGGTGAACAGGTAGTTACTCTTGTCAGACACCGCCACCTCCCCACTGCTGTCAAAGATGCTGTTCATGGCCATCAGGTGGGGCTTGAACAGGGATTCCGTCTGGTCCATGGAGAACACCACGTCGTTCTTCTCGATCTCACTGATGGGACCAGAGGTGCTTCAGACCTTCCACATTTTCTAGCAAAATCCTGTTATACCCCCGGACGTATGGAAAGCCAGATAGCTAACCCTCTCAGCCGAGAACATGGGTATGGATGCCATGCCAGCATTTTGTAAAGAACCACACAGTGAAGTTTGGAATCATGGAGGCAGCAACCCCGAGCATGCCCTCCGGATATGGATGTCTCTGGGATGTTCTTTTATTACTGGGCGTGTGCTGCACTGTTCACACGGGTGTGAGGGCTCTATTTCTGTTTTACTCTAGCGGTGACCATCTCCACCTTTCTCCCCAGGCACTATGGAGTGAAGCTGTTACATCTTCTCCCAGAAAGCCCAAGCAATATCTCTTTCCTTGTTCCCCATTCAGAAAATACTCATTAAGTGGCAACTATGCTATCTGCCTCCCCACGTGGGTCAGAGGCATGACACAGATGACAGATGGGGGGGGAAGACACAGACCAAAAAAAAAAAAAAAAATCACCGGGAAGGGGCAACCCCAGGTGTCCTACAGTTCCCGACACAGCCATGAAAATCCTGTAGGTCCTAAGGATTGGCACAAAGAGCTTGCAAGAGGCAGTGCCCAGGTTCCGGCAGGTCTGCGTTCCCTCGGCCTGCTGCCCTCCATCTGGGGAGCTCAGGCATCCTGCACACCCCGCCCTGCGGCCCTCACATGCTTACCTCAGGACGTAGTTCACGCACATGATGCACTGGGGCTGCAGGTTGCGAGGGTTGTAGATGACTGTCCCCTGGGTCTCCAGCCACACGTAGCCCCCGTGCTTTGCAAGCATCCGGTACTGGCTGCTCACCACCTGCCCTTTGGTGCACACTAGGGGAGGAGAAACGGAGCCCAAGGTCAGGGAGGCTGGGGAGTGAGACCTCATGGGGAGGGCGGTCTACGGGGAAACAGACAAGACCGGGCACCAGGACACAAGGACCTCCTCATGACTTCTTTCCTCTTCCAGATTATTCTAAATGCTCATTTAACATTTCTTTTACTGTAAGAAAGCACTGGGAAGGTGTCCCACATTGCCCAGTCCAGAAGGCTTCATCTGCTCCCATTAAAAAGGAATCAATAAATCTCTTTAAATTAAAGTCTACTAATGTTAGAATTTCTGGTAGTTTTCCCAGCCGTCCATCTACTTTCATTCCTTGGGCATTCATTCTTCAGAATCCTAGCTCCGAACTCCTCAAATCAGAGAACTGGAAGAGGCATGATGGAAGCATTAGGAAATCTTGCTAGCATGGGGACTCTGGGAAAAGCACAGTCCCTCTTAGTTTTGGTTTCCTCCTCTGCAAAATGAGGTGTGGATAAAAAGAGTAGTAATGATGATAATGCTCCTTATTAGCTAGCCGGCATACGACAGCCGTTCACACTGAGGACCACATCTGCCTGGCTCGCTGATCAGGTGCAGAAACGCGGATTGAACGTCCTGGACAAATGCTGTATAGGAAAAGCCACCTCTTACCCGGGACTGTAGAGAACGTTGTGAGGGGCCCCACGGGAGAACATCCAGATTCTCGGTAAACATGGAGAACTGCACTCCGTTCTCCCGGTAGGCTCGGGGGCCACCTCCCCATTCACCAGGCTTGCGAGGCTGAGGAGGGCAGCTTGGTTCCTACTAAGGCCGCTTGTGGTCCTTTACTTTTATGTTCTTCTGGGCACATTTTACCCACTTCAAAAATTGAACAAGCACCTACCTCCAAGGTGCAGGAAGTAGTAACTTACTTGTGTGCAGTGCTTTGCAGGGTTCAAAACTGCCTCAAGATGAACTCATTGCTGCAAAGCAATTAGAACTGCCTGGCACATAAGTCGTCTGTAAGGATCAGTGTTACCATCAGCTCGTGTAATTCGCAATGACACCATGAGGTGTCTATCACGATTCCATGTTTTACATCTGAAGACACTGAGGCTGAGAACTCCCGGGTAATTTGCTGAAAGGGCCCCTCAGTGGAAACAGTAGACAGGATCACAGTCTAAATGTGAGACTCCCAATCTAAGCTTTCGTGGTTTGGTTTTCATTTTTAAAATCAACTTCAGTGAGGTTTAGTTGACCTTCAATTTAAAAATACAACTACTTTAAGGACACAGTCCAACGAGTTTTGACAAATGTACATGCGACTGTCACCACAAAGGTAAACAACTTTCCCATCAGTCCGCCACCTCTGAATTCCTTAGGCCTCCTGCCAGGTCATCCCCATTGCCACCCCTGGTCCCAGGCTACCCCTGATCTGGTTTCTGTCACTATATGTTGCTCTTCTCTCCATCTGCATATAAGTGGACTCATACAAGAGTATGTACTCTTTTGTGTCTGGCTTCTTTTCACTCAGCATGTTTTCCAGATTCCTCAGGGTGCTGCAGGTATTCGGGGTTTGTTCCTTTTTATTGCTGAGTTGTATTCCATTGTATGGAGGTACCATAATTGGTTTATCCATTCACCTGTAGATGGATGTTTAAGTTGTTTTCAGTTTTTTCGGTTATTACGAATAACGCTGCTATAAACATTGGTGTACGCATCTTTGTATGGACCCATATTGTGGGTGTAGCTAGGGGGACGGTGGCCAGATCACCGGCTCAGTACATGCTTCCTTTGTAAGAAGCTGCCACGTTCTTTTCCAGAGTGGCGTATCACCCTAGTCTAGTCTTTCTGAACACAATACCGGGCCGCAGAGAGGATAGATGTCACCTGCTTTGGACATGAAAGAACTAAGGCCAGGGGGACCGTGACCTGCTTAACACGACACAGGACAGGAGCAACGCACTCTGAGTGGGTCAATGGCACTCCCAGCCCCGCACTCTCTGGCTACGACCCCCAGGCTGCCATTCACTGGGAAGCCTCGATTTGCTGTGTCTGTGGCCCTGCATCGTCATGGGCCCCTCGGCCAAAGAAATCACTGCTGTCCTCCCTGGGGGGGAGGTGCCCCACTGAGGCCCCCCTGCTGCAGAGAAACCATTCTTGCACAATTTCAAGTGCCTGGAGTTAACTTATTTAGACGGATCTTAATGCAGACAAAGTTCAGGGCTCCTATTCTTTTTGATTAAGCAGTACAGTAAGCAAAGGTCTTAACTGCATTTCTAGTGATTGCAGGCGAGGGCCTGCTCTGACAGTACAATATAATTACGTCTGCTTTCTAACCATCTGTTCATTAACGCCAGCCTTGGTGAGGGGCCTGCTCCTTGGTAGATAGGCCGTTTATGGCCTTTAATCTTGTTTTCCTAAGAGCACATAATGTCCTCACACAACAAAGAGAAACCGCCCCCCCAACTCTCCCCAACCCCTACCCCCGACAGTAACGGTGTATAAATTACTAATCCATTTGGAAATGATGGCTTTCAATTATCTAAATCTGGTTTGAGGACAGAGCTTCCCCACTCATTTCGACAGTAAACGTTCACAGGCTAAAACACACCTTCGTGTGGAAACTCAGGATGCTGGTGTATAAACCTGGACCAGCCTCCAAGTTGGGCCTCCAATTATCCCACCGCATTAGTGTGAGTCTGTGGTACAACTTTATTTGCACAAACCCAACGACACACACACACACACACACACACACACACACAGGTGGAGAGACAGAAATAGATGCTTCTGTTTTAGCTGGCATTAACCCAATTTCCAACCCACACAGACTTCCCTTTGCTGGATTTGGGTTTGCTGGCTGGGTATGAGGCCACTGAGCTCAGGGCAGCTTTACTTGGCTCCATCAGGGGAAGAAGAGAGCCTGTGATTTCTCTCCAGGTGTGAATTACCTTTAAGTGTGCCTAATGCTTCAATATATGGATTCAATAAAAAGCACCATATTTCCCCTGGAGTCAGCAGGAAACTGATATGACAAATTTTTATCCCAGCTCTGTTTTAAGGGTCAAAGATTTTTAAGGAGGAGGAGAAAATCCTTTTTCTATGCCCAGTGAGAAGTTATCATTTTTGTTCCTTTTGATAGCAGTTTCCTCAGCTCTTCTACCCCAGAAAACAAAGTATAATACTGTCCTCCAGGAATTCCCAGAAACTTTTACTATTGTCCCCTGCTTTGACTTCACCCTTGGCTGAGGAAAAAAGCTGGACTTTTCCCCAATTTTACATGTAAAGGAGGAAAGGCCCAGAAAGCCAGACCCTGGGAAATCCGTGGGTCAGCTGGGCCAGAGCCCAGGTCCCAGAGTCAGTGTTGGGATGACTTTGGGGCAAAAACTACCGAGTTAACAGAAAAGCATGGGGGAATCCCAGCATGAAGGCTGTAACCACATCCCACAATTTCAAAGCTGGGGCAGGCTAGGGCTGGGTCGCATCCACATGAAGGCACTTCACCTCCCTCCCCCATTCTCTGGGTCCCCGAATGGGACTGAATCTAGGCTGGTTGGTTGGTTGGTTTTTTGCCAGACAGCATAGTGAAACACTTCTCTGAGATATCATAAGGGGCCCTCTTGTACTGTCAGCTCAAACCCCAAAGCCGCGAGGAAAAAGCAGAGAAATTAGAAAGAGAAGATTCTCACTCCATCAGAGGATATGAACTGCGTTCACATACAGTTTATGGGGTTGCTAATCTGTTGGCTGCTCTGAACTCAGCTGTCCTAACCTTAGGATAGATGATGGATTTAGAAACGATGGACAAATAGCAGCATCTCCATTTTCTCCACTGCCACCCCAAGCCACAGCTAATCCTGGGGGCCCAAGACCAGCAGGGCCACCGGCAAGCTTGTTAGACTTACCTTACCCATTTTTAATCCTCCTACAATCTTCTCGGCACCTCTGTCTGCACCACTGTCAGCACTTATTTTGAAGCATTCTTTCCCAAATATGTGTGTTGCCTTTGGGTTTATTGCGGACTTAGTGCCTACATTTTATCAAACAGTATGCTAGATACTGAGGCTAAAGAGATGAGCCACCTGCTCCCACAGAGTTCACAACCCTCCTTCTCCTTCCGTTGGGGAGCAATCCTATAAATTTCTATGTCCCCCAGTGGGCCAAGTATAGGGGTATCAACCCAGAGTCCTTGCATGTTGACGGGTGGCATGGACTCAAGGATGTCTTGGATCACCTGCAAACAGGAAGGCTGCATTGGGAATATGGCCAAGTGAAGGCACTAGAATTGCCCTGTCCTGTGGGGCAGCCACTAGCCAAGTGTGGCAATTTAAATTTAAGTAAAATTAAATTTTTAAAAATTCGATTCCTCAGGTGCACTAGACATTTCATGTGGACTATGCAGATGCAGAACATCTCCCTTGCAGAAAGTTCTATTGGACAGTGCTGTTCCAGGATCCTTTCATAACTCAGGTTTTCCTTCAAAAGTTGCAAAGCACTGGTTTGCCTGGACAGCCTCCGACTGAGTTCTCTGCCCCAGCAAGTGAGCTGTTGGAGAACCAAGGCCTACCTCAACACACCTGTGAAGTTGCTGCCCTACTACTGTCACCTGTTGAGCCCCATCCTCCCCCATGCTTCAAGGTCCAACTCAAGGGCTCTGTCCTTTCCTTTCCTGAACTCTCCTAGGTCTCCTCTTCTCGGGTGTACCCGCTTCTATAGCCCACAACCCAGGTGACTCTGTGTCCTCTTGTGTCGTTCTCTACAGGGCTGTCCCACAGGGTTGTGCCAACTGCTGGCCGCACGGGGCGCTGGGTGGAGATGGAATGTGGGGACTGAGATTCAGCCCACCTTCTACTCTCTAAGCTGTGGGCCGTGGTATGGGTGTGTCCCCTCAGAGGAAGGGGCCCTTTTCCTAATTTGCGTGAAGTTGTCATCTGGGCTGGTGGCTGCCTCGGATCTCTAACCATCCTGAGGGCACAGGTCTTGTCTGCCACACAAGATGGTGGCTCTGTGAAGGAGGGAAGCAGGTCTTCTCTGGTCTCACTGGTCACACCTCACTCAGGGCCATATTCCACAGATACAAGGGAGCCACAGATACAGCGTACTCCAGGAACTTACGGTTCTGGTGACTTTTGGTCATGTTCTCTGAGTCCAAAGCATGGTAAAACTCATAGGCTGAGCGGCCAAGCAGTTCCTCAGGGTGGTAACCAACTAGTTCTGTGATTCTGAATTAAAAAAACAACAAAAAACAACAAAAAACAACAAATAAACAAGAACAACAAAAAACAACTATGTGGGAAGAGAGACTATATGAATGTGGGCAGGGGCTCAAGGAGCTAAATCCAGAAGGTGTCCTCTTGTGCAGGAAGACTTACCAGAAGGTAAATCAAATGCACACATTCAGATGAAAACACTCCAGGCTTCCTGGTCATCCCATTCATCCGGGTTAAAAAAACATGGTGGTCAACCTGCAACTGTGGCTCCACCCAACCCCCACTCTTCCTGCACTTCTTGAAGTCATGTTTGGAGAGTCAGGGGATTCCCTATCCCCCACCTCCAATATACACACACACCCAGTCTCCCAACAACCCCTGGAAGGGGCTCTCACACCCTCCACCCCCTGGTTTTTGCTGAAGAGAGAGATCCAGGGAGAGCAGACAATCTGCTTGATGTCTACACAAGTGTCCTGGGACGGAACAAGAATGAAAACCAGGGTTCTAGACGACCAGATCAAGCTTATGTTACTACTGGGGGATACAAATGAAAAGTGAAAATGGTGTGGCCTCTGTGGGGAGGACTGTGGAGACGACCTTTGTGTGGTAAGCAGTGAGTGAGGAGGAACCCAGGCAGGAGAGCCTGCCCTGGCTGTTTGATCTTCTCTCCTCTGAGTGCTTTTCCTCAGGTCCTGCCTGGTGACCTCAGGGACTTCTTGCACATTGGGCTTGCCTTCCATGGTATTTTACCTGCCCCTCCCCATTTCAAGGAAAGGAGGGGTGCTGAGAGGAAGAAATATAAAATCAAGGTATTAGAAATGTGCCTCCTCATTCTACTCCTGTAAATGGGCAGCTCGGAAATGATAGGGCCCGGCCGTCCCAAATGTCCCTTTCTTCTTCCCGTAACATGTCTAGGTTTCATGGGAAGCGGACAGAAAACAGACAAATGTGGAGAACCATGAAGGATCACTTAACACTTAGGACTCTTTGCTCCGTACCGGAATCATTAAAATAAAGAAACCCCACCCAAGAACCACCAGATTAGCCACTTTCCAACATCACACCTAAATGTCTTGTAAGCTTTGCTGTCTCCTGCAGTTTTTCTAATGGGCTCATTGTCTTGTTTACTTGGCCTACCACAAGTCACAGTGTTGCTATACTCTTACGATTACGAGCTCCATTTCAGAATGTATGACTTCTGAGTCCAGCCCTGTCATTTATCCACGATGGAAATTAACAACACAGAAGGGAAAGCAAAAGCAGAGAGCAGAAGCAGGGGCTCCTTGGTTTCCTGTCCCTATTTTCTCTCTGCTCCAAAGGACCTCTGCATATGTCTGCCAGAATAAATCATCCTAAAATAGGATGAAAATCCTATTTCCCTATTGCCCCACCCCATTTAAGCATCTACAGCTTTCCCTATTACCAGCTGCTATCGACCACTATCGTTACCATGATCCAGAGTAAATACAGTCCACCTAACTTCCAGGACCCTCCGGAATCTGATCTCCAATTTCCACACAACATGATTTTGGCTAACCTGCAGCGTGTCTTACATCCTGTGCCCTGGCAGACCGCTCCCCTCGAAGTTCCCCACACCTGGCAAACCCATTCTTGCTGCAGAGCATCGAAATAATCTCTTCACCCCTCGTCTCCAAGCCCCAATGACTGCAAGGCTAGCTCATGGCCTGACCCTCTCCACGGAGCCCTCTCTCATTCCGCCAGCCCTCAGCGATGTCTCCTTCTCATGAAGCCCTAATAATCAAACCCACATCACAGAGAATTACCCACATCCTCAGCTGCCAACCCCTGAACTCAGGGACCACTTTCTTCTTTGGCCTTCCCTACAAGGGGTACTCAGTAAATACCTGAGTGGCTGACTGGTAGCTCTATTCTCTCTTAGGACCCAAGGTACAACCAGAGCCCTGCCTCCCCCAGCACTGCTAAGGGATCTGGGCAATAAGACTTTACTTTCTCTCCTAGAATGTGATTAACTGTTAATGCATGTCAGTGCACGTGCACGCACACACACACATATACACACACACACACACACTCATGCACACGGCTCTCAGCTGGACCCCTCACGATATTCAATCCATCCTTTCTTCATCCTGGAAGTTATGCCTGGTGTTGCGTGGTCAGAGAAGAGAAAAATTCTCTGCCTCAGTGAGACTTAGGGGTGAAAGACTTTGTCAGACAAGGGGCAGCCCAAAGGGGCTGAGCTGCTTAGACCTCAGCTGATTCAGCCTGGTGGAGACTTCCAGCGAGATTCCAATAGTTTGCTTGCTCCAGGGGGCTGGTCTCAGACCAGGAGGATCTGTCCCCTCACCTGGCCCGGAGCAGAAAGGTCTCTGAACTATGTTCCTTGGCAGCCTGATCCTGAGGCTGGTGCCCAATGGCACCTCAGCGAGGTGGAGACTGGGGCAGAGCAAAGAGATGGCAGAACAGTGCTGGCCCTTCCTTCTCTAAAACCAAATAGCTTTCCCGTCTGGTCCAGTGCCTTCTGAGCTTAAGCCTGGGAAGAGGAATTGTACCGGGGGCCCTGCTGACAGTGAGCTGACCATTAACAGGCTTGACGATTTGCCAGATACATTGCTTCTGTTCCTGGGCAGCGCTAGAATTTTCTAGAGACCCTCCAGAGTGAGGCTATTCTGGAAAAGATATAGTACCACTCCCTGAAGCAATGAACTTTTCTTTCAAGATTAGAATCTTTAAAATGTTCAAAGTAAATGTTTATTATAATCAGCCTCATAATAAAACATTTTTAAAATCTAATTACTGTACCAAGCATTCAAAGGCACACAATGGGCATGTTTTGGAAGTGCACAAACAAACCTAGATTTCAGAATCGCCAGCTCGCTTCCCAGGAGTGGCCTTCATTTATCTTGTCAACTAAAATAAATATTTAATGTCTCCTTCTTCATTCCTTTAAACAGACTACTATAAAAACTGGGAAATACACATACCCCAAACACAATTGAAGAACGTCCGAGTTGTCAAACTTCACAAAGCCAGGAAACCCCAACTTGAAGCTAATGGTCATTCGCCTCCATCTGCAGGCATGCAGACGCCAGTTGGGAGGCTAATGAACCCGGCTTGTTTATAGGGTCAGCTCTACAGCACACAAGGGCCTTCCCTGCTAATTTCCCCGGGTCCCAGAGAAGCCTGCGGAGCTGGGCTGTGATAACAGTTTCATCTGCTCTTTCCATCAGGGGCAGGGAATTTTTTTCCTTCCTTTCTTTCTTTTTCTTTTTTTCTTTTTCTTTCTTTCTTTCTCTTTCTTTCTTTCTTTCTTTCTTTCTCTTTCTTTCTTTCTCTCTTTCTCTCTCTCTCTCTCTCTCTCTCTCTCTAATTAAGAGCCCTGAGTCACTGGGGAAAAAAAATCAGTCTGGGGTCACCCATAAATTTAAAGTCAACTCAGTAAGGCTGTTCTGTTTTCGAGAAGTGGGAAATGTAAAAGGGCTTCATTTATCAGATTTCAGAAGCAAGAATAGAGGTCACTCTTGAACAGTGAAGTGGAAGAAGAAAGATCAAGCACGAGGTGAGGAGAGAGATGTAGCCACCGACGTGCAGCCGTAGTAGGTAGACAGGGACGAAAGAGGAAGAGAAGAGAAGATATAGAGGAAAAGGGTCATTATATTCTGAAGTGTTAGGCCGAGTAAATACGCGGGTCAGACCGCCGGGCTTTGGACTTGAGAATTCGAGACATCCTCCTAACGTAAAATGATAGTTACTTATCGTCCCGCAACTGTTCTTTACCGTTAGGTGCTCAGAGGCTCTTTTCAGCATGGATTCCCTGTGCCCGAATGCCAGGCAGGAAACGGTTCTCTTGGCTACAGCGTCCACGCCCTTGCCTCAAGCGGCAGAGGGGGTCCAGCAAAGGCCGAGCTAAGACGGCTCGCCGCTCTTCCCGGGAGAGCGCCAGGGCGCAGGTGCGCGCGGGCCCTGGCCGCCACGTGCGCGGACTGCCGACACCACTGCCTACAGTCAAGCAATGTCTGGCTGAGGGTTTTCCCCCTGCTCCCTACACCCGTAAAGGATTTGCTAAGTCAATTCATCACGTCAACAAGATGGCTAGAAGAGTACTTCAAACTCTTTAAGAGGATACAAGTTTTAAGGACTTTGTAACCACCTCTTTGTTTTCCAAAGAATGCATTTGCTAATAAACTGTGCTTATATTAAAGTCTGCTTTCTTTCCTTCCACCCTTCTGGTGATGGTCTCTCCTGGGCAACAACCTGATGCACCTCATTTTGGTTTCTATAGGTGCTTATAAGCCTTGGCACAGCATCTCCTTAATCATGTCCAGACTACTCACTCACTCAGATTTCAAGGCTTTCTGCTATAATACACTTTTACCCGGATTTTGCTTGCTTTAAACAACCGGACTTAAGCCCTGCGTTTTCTTCACATGTCATGTGGGTATGTGAAGTCTACAAAACCAGCACTGCAGTTCAGGGGCAATCCATTTTCATCTTGTTGGGGTGATGTGTTACAGGTGTGTTACAGGTGTCACAGGTACTTTATACCCAGGAAGTCTGCCCTGGCTCAATCCGGGACCGACCCTGCTCTGAGTGCCACCAAATGCCACAGCTGCCTTCTATCACCTTGAGACCCACATGCAGGAAGCAGAACGTTGCCCTGAAATGTAGCAAGAGAGGAGATCACGTAGAAGGAATAATTTTTGAATTATGAGGTCGGTTAAACCTTGCAATAAATTGCAAAGAGAATTTGTAGAGCTGCCTCTTCCAGGAGTATTTGGAACAGACTAGACAGGATATTATATAAGCATTTCATATATATGTGCTCAGACTCTGGGTTGATTTCAGAACACTGGCATTTGGAGGAGACACAGATGCACAAGGAGAGCACTTAAAGTTTCTTCTAACTCAAGGATCTAGAGAAATTCACTATACCTTCTCATATAAGACGTGTGCAGAAAGGCTAATAACGTGTAGGTCTGCAAAAGTATTTCGAATATACTACATAGGAAACTAAAAAGTACATGTAATGTATTAATCTGAAATATCACTCTGAATTTTAAAATGCCACCCATCCTCTACAAAAAGGTAAAATAAAAACAATTATTAAATGTATCTCCTTATGCAATGAAAGTATATAATCTTTTACTATGAATTTGCCTGAAGTTAGCCTATCTTCTTCTCAGATTTCAAAACTCTTGCCTTCCAGGTGTTTTGATGTGTATTTATCATACAACTCACGGCTCCTTATAATTTTCTTCACTGGACTTCTCTTTATGATCCCCAACTCTTCTCTCACTATTATCTGTACTCTTCCCGACTTCTTTGAATAATAATAATTCAACATAAATTTGAGCCACAGAATTTGAAACGCAGGCATCTTAACTTACCCGATTTATTAAACTTCTGGTATTAATATGCCCTATGTGGCCTTAATCCAACGGCAAAACAGGGTTGCCTTCAGCTTCTCTAACTGTAAAGATTACATGATCCGCTTTGTTAATCTGAAATTTTCACTGTTAACCGTGATACCGTTTTCTCCCTATTGATACCGGTCCCCTCTACACAATCTGCATGGATATTTTATTTCTCAGAAACAGGGAGACTCCTACAACTGATAAAATCACGGTGGGGTTATGTCGATCACGCAGTCAGCCCCATCCTCCCTGATACCCGCCTGCCTTCACAGTGACTCTCTTTCGCCACTAGGTGGCACCTCCACATGAATTTAAGAACCAGCCCCATTTTAGAGTTAAACTATTGGGAATAACCTCTCTCCCCCTTTTCAGGGAAGGGAATGCTCTATTTTGTACCATTCACTGTGGTTCATTAGGTGGCTGGTGTCTCAATATCTAAACTCTTGGAAATCAGGAAAAAGCTCTTTTACTTCTTTGATAGAATGGTCTCCGGCACAGGATTAACTAGGCACGAAACACGCGCTCAGTAAATACCAGGTTGTTCACTGGTTGCTCAGTACTTTAGGAAAGGGAATAGAACGACTCTGTCTGAGTCATAAATGGAGACAGTTCATCATCGATCACAGTGATAATCAGGACATCCTCCTTTAGCCTTGCCACCACATTGCTCCCCTGGTCAAGAGCAGTCAACCACATACATGTAAATGTGACAGACGTGAAGTGTCACAGAATTTACTTTTTATAAAATGTTTACTATGTTTTAGATAACTATTAAGAGAGCTAATACGGTCCTCTGACCCTTTATTAAGAGGAGTGGGACAAATGCATTCTGAGTCACCTGCGTGCCTTTACTCAACTCCAGATGCTCCAGGGCTGGTTGTTTCAGCTTCCGGCACCTCTGGGAACCTGAGAGTTCAATGCAAGACCACAGCCTGCTTTTGTCTCTTCTGTTTTATTTCTCTCCCGTCTCCATTCTCCCTTCCCTTTTCTCCATGACCCTTTTCTTTTTTTTAATTATGTCTGTGGTCTTCATACATTGAAGAAAAAGTGCTAAACTGGCTTTAAAAGTAATTTTGTGGATTCCAGTTGCCTTATATTTTCATCAAATTCTTCCAATTTTCCTTATGGGAGAGTAATCCCCTTGTAAGAAATCATCGCCCCTCAGTGTGTGTTAGATGTCATCAAATCTAGTGAATTCCTAGATTTAACGAAAATGGAAAGCACTCCTCTCTGATTAGCTATCGTATATAAGTGTTGGTTTTTGAAGCATTGACCTTGGAAGGGTATTATGGAGACAGAGACAGAGAGAGAGGGAGGGAGGGAGAGAGAGAGAGGAAGGAAGGGAAGGAGGGAGGGAGGGAGGGAGGGAGGGAGGGAGAGAGTGGGCGCATGTGTGCACACCTTACCCCATTCTAATGAAAGCGAAAACAAAACAAGCTACCAAAACCAAAAAAAATCCCTGTCTTCATCAAAGCAATAGAGAAATAGCACTTAGGGATTAAGGACTTAAAATAGTCACTTTATAAACTGTCTAAGCCATGTCTGTGCCCTTGTTAACTAATCTGCTAATCGGTTAAACACAGCTTCCGCGAGGCACAGCATTCTGTGTATTTAAGCACCTCTGCATTCACCCCTCCAGCACCACCAGACTCCGAGTTGGGGCCATGTAATTAGGTTTCTTGAAAGGCAAGATTTTGCTGAAAATGCAGTGTGTCCAGCAGCACTGAGACGCAGTATCGCCCTCCACACTCTGAGTCACAAAGCCCTAAATCACAGGTTCCTCCAAGCCAGTATCGACTGCCGACAAGCCCTGAGCCAGATGAGGCAAGCAGTCTGCGCAGGGGTCTCCCCGTTCCGCTGCCGCTTCCTCTTCCCCCACTGTTGGGACAGTTCCTCCTGTCTTTGTCCCCTCTTCTATCCCAAGCAGCATTGCTTTCAGGAAATGACCTGAAACTCACTCAAAACAAGGTAATGAATGGAGGACAACCTCAGATTATGCTTTCCAGAGAATTTTTTTCTTCCTTTTAACAAGAATCAAAGTCTTAAGCTTAAAAAAAAAAAAAAAAAATCCCGGTCTTCTATTAGCTAGAGATGGTAAGTCATTTTCTTGGACTGCAGGGTCTTCCCAGTGCTTGTGGGGCCACATGAGGGGTGAGCTTCACTCAGAGGTGCTCGCTCCATCCCCAGCACTACAGCCACTGCTTCGGGCTGGATGAAGGTGTCTACAGCGCTGCCCCATCCTCGAGCCAGACCTGTGGGCTACGCAGTGGGATTTCCGGCGGCACCTCGAGAGCCTAGAGAGGGGTGCACATTACAGAAGTGTGTATTCTGCCCACAATGTTCATTTGAACGCAAAGCCTCCATCGGAGGAATGACCTTACACACAGAATGGATTTCTCTAGTGCCTGCCTTTGGGACAATCTTTATCTCCAGTCTTCATCCTGATCCCAATAACAACACTATTAAGCACTGTAATCAATGCTGTGTCAGAGTTCCAGGACAAAAGTCTTCATATGTGACATTTTCTCCCTCTGAGGGTTAGAGCACTTCTTTCTACTTAGAGAATGACCTGCCGCCTGGGTCCTGGGTCCTGGCACCATGGTGGTCAAAACGAGGGGACAGGAATGACCCAAGGATCCTCAAAGTCCTTCGACTTTGCCTCGAGTGGAAGCCAGTTCTAGGAAGGGGCATGTGCAATCTTAGGTACTCTTTCTACAACTTTATAATAAAGAACAACTTGCAGTAAGAATAACAGCTCACGCCAAACACTTCCTATTGAATTTGAACCTAGGTCATCTCGCCAGAGCTGACACTCTGAACCACATCACTCTCCCACAGGAGAATTTCCAGTGGGGCCTGGTTTTGGGGGTTAGAATCTAGTTTAGTTTCCTTTATCAAAAAGCCTTCAAAATTAGGCTGAGCAGTGGCTGGAATGGAGGTGACACAGAAGCAGCAAAGGCTGAGGGAAGAGCTCATTAGTGGAAGAGAACAGTGGAAGTTGTGCAACTGTAGGGCAGTTTCCAGGCCAGACCCTGAAGCTCCCAGCTGGCCTCTGAATTGCGAGTGCTGAGGGAGATCGCTAGACTCCGGTCTCCTGGGAATGGAGACTGGCCTGGAAGTTTCCTCAGGAGCCTGACACATATGTGGAGAACTATGTACACACCACAACAATCAACAATGAGCTACACAGCAGAACCGCTCTGGCGTCAGCCCCTGAAGCTGCCTCAATGGGGCACCACCATATATGGTACCAGGAGCCCCTCAGCTGCACTGATGGGATGACAGAGAGACACACGTCCACATACTTGTACGCAGCAATGCCCGAGACCCATACCTTTCCCACAGGTGCGCGCGCGCACGTGCACACACACACACACACACACACAAAGGCAGGTAAGACAGTCCAGCCACGGCACACACACTCCCAGGCCCCCACCTGTCGTCACAGTAGGTGAACTTCATGTCCATGCTGTGGCGGCTGAGGAAGGTCTTGCTGTCCAGGGGGATGTCCATGTGTGATGGGTGCTGGATGGGTTCGCACATGATGATGAGGCAGGAGAGCAGGGGCTCCTTGTAGCTGCAGAGACCACTGTGAGGGGGGCAGTTGTTGTACACCTTCACCTGGCCAGTGCAGTGCAAGACCTGGAGACCAGCCATGGAGGGTCAGACGCGGGGTCAAAGAGCATGGTCTTGGGGGAGGGGGTTGTGGGATGTGGGGGGCAGGGAGGGGACTCCAACCCAGGCCTGATGTCATCCTACCTTCCAGGTGGCTGACTTGAGGTTGACAGTCCGGCCTCTGTTGGTGACTGTGCACTTCATCCTCATGAAGAAGTCCCGCTCTGTGGACATGTCTTTGCTTTTCTTCCCGAAACCAGAGCCTGGATGGGGAAGAGAAGAGGGCACCGGTTGACTGTTATGCTTATATTCAGAAGAGGCGCCCTGGTGCTATTTTTCTGGGTAATGCCTTGTTGATACTTCCCACTGATCTGCTCCCTTAGCACTCATCGCCTGCCATGAATGCTGAGTCTCATCTTGGCCTGGGGACTAGTGTTTTCTCATCTCCAGCTTGTCTCCCCAGCTGGAGTCTAAGCTTCTGAGGGTTGTTACGCTGTTTTGTTTCCCCCTGCACCTAGCATGCCATCAGTGCTCACTTCACAGCGGCGAGGCAACAAGGGACTGGGGGCTGTAATCTGGGCATGTCTCTCCTAGAGCAGGCCCACGCTCCCTAGCAGGAAGTCCCAGGGGCAGTCTGGGTGAGACCACCGTCTCCTGAAGGGGATAAACCTCTCAGATTAGAAAGGTCTCTCAGACACCCGTTTTGTCTTCAGCCCTGTCCCTCACGAACGTGAACCCTCCAGTGCCCTATTTTCAACCGGCCCCAGCTATATTCTGCACACTGCGCCATCAGCTTTCTCCCTAAAGTGACGTGTGTCAAGGCTCAAGAGAGACCGCTGGCCCAAGCCTCCTGGGTTTGGTGAGCAAGTTCATTTTGAGGATGAACTCAACATGGATCAGATTCTTTCTCAGCCAGAATTAAATAAATCACCAAGACAAATGACACAGTCTCCTTCCTGGTGGTCTCCAAATGCCTGCTCACTCATAGCTCTTCCCACTTTCCATAAAACAGAGTGATGAATGCAGTAAGTGCCAGCTGAGTCCCCCACGTCCAAGTCGAAATTCTGCCTCCACCACCACCATCTCCAGCCTGGTCCTGCCCAGGTACACTCAGGCCCCCTGGCCAGCACCACAGAACAAACCAGAGCCTTGTTTTCAAATAGTCACACCCCTCCATAAACCTCTAGAGGGCCAAGATTTATTTGATGGATGTATCCCCAGAAAGCTGTGTCAAATGAATTTTGACATCTCTGAATCTATCTTAAACATCCCTAGAGGAGAGCCTGCTAAATAAGAGCATGAAAGTGAGAAAGTGAATCTTTTTTTTAAAGAAAGAACATTCCTCCATCGTGATTATTTATAAAACCATCTCTCCAAAACTTAATGATGTTCCTTCCAATTTTAATTTTCACAGGTGGGGTCTACAAATCATGAGATATTCTTGGATCCTAGGGTCTGGATCTACCCCGAGGACTAATTCAGGTGCTGGGAGTAAGTGGGCTGGTGTGACTTGTTTGTGGCTACGGCATGGGTTACTACTGTGGCCTAACTTGCTAACCTCTGGATTCTCCCCATTCTGCCATTTGATTAGTCTTCCTAAACATAGCTCCAGTCAGATTATCCCACCCCTGCTCAAAACCTTTTCAAAAGCTCCCCTCTGTCTACAGGATAAAGTTCGAGGCCCTCCACCCAGCCTTCAAAGCCTTCCACAATCTGCCTCATGGTTTTATCTTCCTCTCGGTGTTCACACTAACCCTTTGCTTCCAGATCATGAGTCCACTCAGGCCGGCGCCTTCAATGAGAATTGGCTGATTCATAGAGTTTGATCCCGAGTCCTTGACACATGGACCAAGAGACCTAACTAACGTTCTACTCAGATAAATGGAATAGAATCATGCTATGAATCATGGTACTTGAGAGCTGGAAGGTCCTAGACTTTGCCTGGTCCAATACCATTCATCTAAAAGGAGAGCTTCTGAGGAACAGGGCAATGCAGTGACCTTGTTCAGGTCTCACGGCCGGACTGAAACTAGGTCAGTGGCTGAACTCAGACCGAGAACCGAAGGGCCGAAGAGTTTCTGGAGTAGAGAAGAAGAGCCTTTTTGATTTTCGCAGGCTTCAAGCACGTGCTTTAGAAAGAGATTCAGAAAGTCTGACAGCCCCTACCTCATAGAAGCAGACAAGATTTCTTAGCAGCACAGAGAAGACACTGAACAGCTCAGTGGAGTGCTCTCCAGCCTGTGTGCTCTAGGGGCCAGGTGGCCTGAGGCCTCGAGGTGGGAGAGCAGAGGGGCTGGGTGGGAGCTCCAGGCAGGGAGGGGGTTGTACTGCTGCTCTTTGTGGGCTCAGTCTGTCACAAGGGTGGAAGCAGCCTGCGGAGCACCTGTTTCTGCAGCGTGTGCACTAACAAAGCCCAACCTCGCAGGCTTGGTGCCGCAGCCTCGGTCAGTCAGGCCGGACAAGCACGCACCCCATGGTAGTGACAGGTGAGAGATGTTAAAGGGGATGGACAGACATGGGCACAATCTGCCCAGAACAGTGCTGGAATTTCCGATTCAGAAGGGACCGTGAAAGTCACTGAGCCCCACTTCTACTTGCTCAAAGCTTCAGTCCTCTTGATAATATCCTCATCCGTGCCTTTGCCTGAAGGTCCCCAGTGGCAAGAGACAGAAGCAGAAGCTCCAACAGTCATTGCAAAGTGCTTTCTGCTTATGTGGGCCCTCCCATCCACAGGCATCTGCTGGATACCCCCACAGGTAGGGTATAGTATATGAGATCTTCTCAATCTCTTCTCCATCAAAAACTACCTGTTGTGGGTCTTATTGCCAGGGAACCAGATTCATTCTTTGGCTCCCAGGGTATCTAGGCTCCAAAGGTGGCCCCAATGAGTCACGCGTGCCTCCTGATATTCGTGGCCTTGTGTACTTCCCTCCCACCCTGAGCAGGGGCTCGCTTATAACTCCCTCTAACAACAGAAAGGGGCAGAGTGATGCTGGGCCAGTCTCAGGACTCGGCCTTCAGAAAGTCTGGCAGCTTCTACTTTTGCACTTTGGGAGCCCTGAGTGGATGTGTTAGAGGTCTGGAGAGGGAGGGGCTCTGGGACTCCATGGCGTGAGAGAAAGATCCAGCCCTGCCAGCAGCTGAGTCCCAGCCTCCAGATACTGGCCGCAAGGTCCCAGAGGTGTGGGGGAGCCGTCCTGGTCATTCCACTTAGTACGGCCCCCAGACAACGGCAGCCCAGCTGATACCACATGGAGCAAAAGAACAGCCCACAGAACCCACAGAATCATGATGGGTAATAAAATGATCATTTAAGCCACCATGTTTTGGGTGGTATGTTACACAATGACAGACAAGAGCAATAGGTTTTGTGAACATCTGGGGACAGAGGAGTGTACTGATTTGGGTGGTGCCATTTGGCAGAGACCTGGCCTCTCAGGCAGTGAGGCCTGCTGGAGACAGTGTCCTAACCCAGAGGACTGCCCTCCTAGCGTGGCATCAGGCACCATGAAGGGCCAGCTGGAGACAGTTCCGAGGACAAGTCCCTCCAGTGCCCTCCATCTATGCCACAAGCTCTACTGGACCTTTTATGGATGCCTTTTTTTTTTTTTTTTTCTGGATCATGATGACCCTGATCCATCAACCCTACATTTGTAGACAAAGGGAATGCAGATCCCCTCCCAGGGGGGTGTAAGAAGGAAGGAAACACACAGCGAAGAATACTTTACCACTTTTGAGACTCAGGTTCTCACGAATCTCCTCATGGTCACAGGGATGAGTGAAGTCAAAGATACTGTGTCCGGTTAGCTCCACCTGTTTAAAAAACAAGGTTGGGCTTAATTATTCGTACTGTTGAAGAAGTCTCCAAGAGGCAGCTGAGCCACCTTGCAGGTTGGGAGACAGAGCGCAGACTGAAGTAGGTCTTTTTATCCCAATCCAGTGCTGTCTACAGACATGAGGACATAACAAAGGACTGCCATTGATGACAGAGACTTGATTTCCAAGGGTTCATCTGTTAACCTAGTCAGCAGAGCTGTCCACCAGCAATGCCTACCCCAACACCAGGGGCTGGGACTGTGTTCCTGAGGCTTGTAACCTGAGGTCAGAGAGGAGCGGGGTGGGCACAAGCAGGGAGAGGTCAGGAGGAATGCGATCAGAACCCTCCACTCATTTCTACCCCCAAATGGAAACATTTTCCCTTTCTGAAAGAGCCAGAGGAGGATGTCACCTGTGTGAGTCCCATGAACTTGCTGATGTTTTCTGACAGAAAGATCATGTCGCCATCTTGGGTCACCACGGCAATGAAACCCTCCAACGCTTTTAGGTACAAGTTGTCCATCTGTTGGTTAGCCTCAGCTTCAGACTCATTTTCAGAGCAAACTGGAAAGAGAGGGGGGTCGGATGGCTTACATGAATGTGGTACTAAGACAGATGTGACTGGCATGGACAAACATCTGCCAGGGATGCCTCAAAGGCACTATGTGGACTTTTCCAGAAGTGCACACTGCCAACAATCTAAGTGTCTAGCACATGCCCAAGCAGTGGGAATCTGATAAGCACCACTACACAGAGGACACCCTGACGGGGCTTTGTAGGTCGTGAGGCTGTCGTGGCAGCATATTATTGGGCTTAGGGGTAACGGTGGCAGGTGTCATGGATGTGAAAGGAGTCACAGTGGTATAAGGAACCATAGCCTTCCCCACTAATGTACGTTGAGCAATGACTGCACATCAGGTACTGCACTGAACATACTATATAATCTCTACAATGCCTGTGGGGTGGGTATTATTCTTTGTCTTGTCTTATAAGACGAGCCTCAGAGAGAGGCAGTCGGTCATTTGCCAGAGGCTGTAAAGACTGGTTAGCAGGCTCAGGCAGCTGAATCCAGCAGATACACTCCTAACCATTTATGGACTATGGAGTCAAAGAGACACAGGTTCTATTCCCCTTATTAGGCTATGACTTTGGCTAATGACCTCTTTGAACATCAGTTTCCTCATCAGCCCAATGCAAATAATAATTTCTGTCTTTTTGAGTCGTAAGGATTAAATAAGTATTTAAAATGCCCAAAACACCACCAATCACTGTGATTTTTCTTCCCTTCTGTTCCCTCCAGGATACTGTCGCTGCCCTAAAGTTGCTCAAAGCCTAGAGAGGGGATGTGTAGCACACAGAGATGCAAATCTAAGTAAAAACTCAGGGGCAACAGAGCTGGGTGACCAAAGAAGAGTGTAGACAGTAAGTGCTCATGGGATCACTTTGAGGTGGTTAGAGACAACTCTTCCACAAAAGGGCATTTGAAGAGGCTCATGAAAAAAAGGCACTCACTCTGTAAAGCCAAAGAACTTTGTGGGCCAGGTTGGGTTGGACAGACACTGGGCAAACAAGGAGGTGGTAGAGCCTGGAGCAAGCTCCCTCCCCAGGGACTAAGAAGATACCCATCTGGCCAAAGAGGAGGCTACATTTCCCAGACTTAGTAACTGGGCTGCCAAGGTGGGTGCAGCATCCTGGAGCAAGCGGCATCTTAGAGCACTGCTTTGGGGAGAATCACCTGGCAAAAGCATGCTGATGGTTTGCAGAGAGACAGTGAAGACCAGAGGGGCAAGAACCGCAAGAGGAGGCCATTGCACTCATGGCAGGCTGGAGAAGCAGTTGCTAGGGGCAACCTGGGGAGGCACCCACTCCCCAACCAACCACTGTGAGTAGCCCTAGCCTTTCGAGTACACTTCTGCTAGCTGCAACATAGCAGACAAAATGTAGGCTCCGCTCTTGCCCCAAACAAAGTTCTCAGGCCCCAGGCCCTTGGCTGTTGTCCCCAGGCTACAGACTTTATTTCAGCCCTGCTTTTCCTACCGTATTATTTAACTCCAAATATACCTTTACTTAACAAAAATTTGCCTTCATCCAGTACAAACGTCATGCCAAGTAGACCTCATTTAATTTATAAAACAAGGGGATCAGAGAGTAATTTGTTCTTTATAAAAGTTAATATTTACTTAACTAAAAGGCATCTTCCAACTTGAGACTGTTCTAGGGAATGTAAAACGTAATTCGATTTCTGGGCCACTTGGCAAGGAAGGCGGGGATACTACGAAATGAGGTCCAAGGGCCTCTCTGTGAGGGCACTGGATGTATTTGGTTCTCTTTTCCCTTGAGCCCCTAAATTTAAGCTCTGGGCTATATGCTGTTACTGCTTGAGAAGAACAAATCCAAATTAGGAGAGGTTTCTGCCAAGGGGCTTCAGTGGCAGCACTGCGGACCAGCCACCTTCCGGACACAAGATCAGCAAATGTGCCAGAGAACAGAGGAACAGAGCAGGCCCATCCAGGGATGGGCTTTTGCCTTTGGAGCCAAGAGTCGGGCTACAGGGAGCAGTGTCCTGGTGACTTCCCTTCGGTTTTGCTAAAGCGGTGGAACAAAGGAGGGAAATTCTTTCCTCTTCACACCCTAGCTAGCTTCTGGGAAGGGAGACCATCTGGGGATGGCCTTCTACCACACACATACCCACACTTGATCCCTGCTTAGGGTTTCTGCCAACTAACTAGTCAGCTGAACAGATGATGACTAGCCCAAGTTCTAGGTGGGGGCGTGGCCACTGCCAATACTGGTGCTCCAGCTAACGGCCATATCTGAACAGGGGCTTTAGGAGAGATGGTGATGGAACTGTGCTTTCACAGTTGAGCGTGTACCAGCATCCCCTAAGGGGTTGCTAAAGCAAGGATTTCAGGGCCTGGGGCTACTACATAACTTGTGGGCCCCAGTGGGGAAATGTGGGGCCTCTTGTTGAAAAATTTAACCAAGTCCAGGGCCCCTCTGAGCATGGAGCCCTGTGGGACTGCAGAGGTCACACACTCATGAAGATGGCCTTGGATGAGCCCTTCCCCAGAGTCCCTGATTCAGTAGGTCTCAGGTGGGGGCCGAGAATCTGCTTCTCTAACAAGTTCCCAGATGATGTGGACGCTGCTAGGACCACAGGTTGAGGATCACTGCCATAACTCAAGGTCCTAGGAGTGACTCTTAATGCTGGGGAAACCCAACTGTTTTGGCAGGTGGTGATCTATTTTGGGGATGGGTGAGGAGAGGTTTCCAGCACCATTAAATCACACCAGAGACGTGACCACCTTCTCTAGACAGCAAAGGCCAGCCCTGTGAGTTCTGGCCTAGTGAGAAGATTTTTTTTCTCTTCAACTTCTTTGATCTCAGTGGCAACACTGACATCAAAATCTGGTGTAATCCCAAGACAACCCTATTTGGGTTAACTAGGCCCAGAGGAAATAGTTCTGCTTAAAATTTCCTGTTTTTAACAGTTCCAACCCAGCCAAACTGGTTTCCATCCGTGCCCAGTACACTTGCTTCCAGGAGGTGGTGAATTGGCAAGAGCAGCCGGCCAGCCGGCCTCTGGGAGGAAGGGAGAGGGACGCTCAGGGACCACGAATGGAAACATAACATCTTGGAACTGAAGTCACAATGGCTGGAGGACAAGGAAGCCAGCGGGCCGGCCCCAAGGGACCCCTGGGACAACCTGGCCTCTTTCCTCTGTGGAACTCTTTGCTCCTGCAGCACCTGCTTTTCCTCCTGGGGGATTCTGAAAGAACCTGGCCGGCTCACGGTCAGCTTGGGGTTTGAGGGTGAAGACTGCACGGCTGGAGGCAGACCCTCACCCTAGGGGCCAGGGGCACATGCCTGTCGCCCTCTGCTGAAGACTGCTCTGCGTCCTCTCCTGCTCTTTCTTGGGAGTGTCAGATCTTCCCTACAGCATCGACGATCTCCGACTCAGTGTCAGGCACATAGAAGACTCACCTAGTCACTACGCTGTTACTATACCCCTACTATGTGTCTGCCCTACGCTGGGCACAAGGCAGGAAATCAGGCCATCTGTCAACAAGGGTCTGTGTGCATTCAGTCCTGTCCTAGGGATAATCAGGGATACTGAAGGGTGTAAGAGGCATCTTTTCACTCAAGGAATCTACAGACTGGTGGGGAAGACGAAGATAGACCACCATAAGACCATAAGGTTACACAACAATCCAGAAGAAACCCTTGGTGCCAAATAAAGAGGAGCCCACAGTAGGTGCTCGAGAAGCCCCCCATGGGGTCTCTAAATCGCCATGGGCTCTAGGTCTCAGTTACTTGCTTCCCAGGACCCTTCAGGGTCTGACCCCCCTGAAGAGGGATCGGAATCAGAGGTGCTGCGCTAAGACCAAGCGTGCTCAGCCTGAGGAGCACAACAAGATTCTTTAATGCTAAAAATAGCCCCAGTAAACAGGCTTTGATGACGACTCCCCACAGCCAGGATATGCGCGGGCTGAGGTTTCGGAGCACTTTTTCCGGAGCACCGCTCATTTCCTTCAGGCAGCACCACCCATGTGGGGCGGGACCCCGTGGGCAGCAGGAGCCGGGCGTCTGGGGTGAGCAGGCAGGGTGGCAGGGTGGCAGGGGAGACGCTACGGACCAGGTCTCTGAGACCAGACTGTGAGAAGGCCCTGCTGGTCAGGATCGGTCTTTATTCCAGCAGAGGGTCATCGTCCCTCTTTGTTTCCCCCTCTGACAAGTTCTTTGACGATTCTTAAAACCACACTGATGTGATCTTCCTGGTTCAGACACCACTTAGGTATCATTACAGAGGCTTTCTTTTTAAAACCGATTCCTCACTCCAGCTTTCCCAGGCCCGTAGACCCTCTGCTACCATTACCTGGGAGTCGGCTTGGGCGACCCTCCCATCTGTGGCAGAAGACACTGTGTTTTACCTCATCTTGCTGGCCTCCCAGAGGGCCTGGAAAGTCCACCATTAGAGACTCATTCCTTTGTTCTTTACATAACTTATTATCCTGTCTTACCTCTGGCATACCCTTTATAAGACATAGCACAGGGCTGGGGTCAGCAAACACCTGCTGATTGACCAGACTTTTTTAAGTTAAGGGAGTGATCTGAAGAAGGTCATTATCTCTGGAAGAGATTGTACATTAGCTGCTTTCAGTCGTTAACATCCTGGCATGAATTGGCTTCTCAGCTCCTCTCCAAAAAGGACCGAAAAAGGCCTTGATTTGGAAGGTGAGTGGGGCAAAGCATGAATGAATCGATTCATTCATGCCAATGCATCAATAATAAACCTGACATTTCTCTTTCGAAACCTTGCTATACAATGACCTCTAGCAATCGTGTAAAATCAATTTGATTTCACCACATCTGAGTGTGGGGAAGCCAAAAATCAATTTTGTAGTGAAAAACAAATTTTACATATTTACTGCTGTCTAATGCCCTCTGAATGCAGAAGTAGGCACTCATCTTGAAAGAGGATTTAAGACAATCAAGCGGTATTTCCACTGATGTTCCCGTCAGAGTGTGTTCTGTTCTCTGCCCAGCGTGGAAGCTAATATCATAAAGCTATTGTTTCAGTTTGCTTCCTGTGATACGAATCTCAATCGGCTGCCCCGACTCCCAGCCTGAATTTCTCAGTGCTGAGATTTCCTCTCCAACATTCCCACACAGAACAGCCTACTGTGAAAATCAAAGGGAAGCGTGTTACTAAGTAAAGAAGAAACTTTTCTAAAGCAAAACCTGGTCTTTTTTAGCCTTTTGAACTCTGAGGTATGCAACCAGCTATTTCCTATTTTAAAGTGAGCCAACCCTGGTGCTCACCTTTGTTAGAAATGCTTCAGTGATGAATCTGTGGTTTGTTTTGACTTGGAAAAACTTGGCTACTCTGCATTTTGATAGGCACTGCTGACCAGTGGGTAAGAAGACAGTATGAGTGTGGGTTTCCACTGGGTTCCCGCTGACATCATTTCTCCAGAAGCCTATACTTAGTATAAATCAATTTGCTTGTTCATCATAACTTTTATTTTTAAGCGATCACTTATGGAGAGCCTCAGATGTAGCAGACCTCAAGAGGATAAGGGTTTTTCTAGCCACTTCTCCCCATCCTCAAATAGCACAGCAAGGCAAGTACTGGGATTGCCCTTGTGCAGACGAGAAAGTAAAACTCAAAGGTGGTGGAGAGATTCTCGCAAACGTGTAAAGAAGGCTGTGCAACTGAGGTTCCAGTGGGGGTCTATCTGCCCACAAGTCCTGTATTCCTTTCCACGGGAATCCATGTTTTGAAAAAGCAAAATGTGATTTAAGAAAGAAAAAAAAAAAAAAGACCCCATTTCACATGTAATTCCTGAAAATGATTTCCACAATTGGTCTAAAGAATGTGTGGCAGGACTGGAAGAGAAGGCAGAGAAAGGGGGCCTTGAAAAGCCATCCACCTCCTACTCCTCCCCTGGATGATGCTCGTTTTATGAGAACGGCTCCGTCAAGGACACCAGGACCAGATGGCCAAATGTAGACACTTCTTATCCTTTTCTGTCATTTCACTCCTGGACAGAGAGGACCAGAGCGGACATGCTGAGGCTCTGGTCAGTCTGGGGCCAAGCCCAGCCAGAGGGCAGGCAGTTGGTGCCCACGACCTGCAACAGCTCCCAAGTGGGGGTGTGTTGCTGTCTTGCTGTAGTCCTATCTCTGGGGTGGGGCTGGCATGCGGGGGGCTCACGCCGGCACACAGGAAAGGCAGACGTGCTCAGGGGACCCAGCTTCTGATTCACGGCCCTCTCCAAGCCAACTTCTGAACCACTGAGAAGGATAATTATGTGGGGGAGAGCATGGAAATCAACACTGTACACCAAAAGAAAGGATAGAGACAACTCATGGAATGTGTGAGAACCATCTCTGCACCCCACTGCTCTGGGCTGGCCCCCAGGTGCCTCTGCTCAACTTTGATTCTCTTGTCAAGGAAGAACCCCTCTCTGCCCCCCACACTGAGCCCTCGTCAACATCTTTGCCTGACCAGGTCTGCGGAATGCTCCTGCCCTCCCATTCCCCTCTTTCTCACAAATGCAGATTCGAGAGGACTTGCATTCCAGGTGTAGATTCACCACGTGCTAAGTGTGCGGCTCTGAGCCACCTTAACATTTTTGTACCTCACTCCTCATCGTTCTCCAATGTTTTACAAGTCCAAATTCAATCAGAGAGGCATCCTGGGATGCATAAATTACTCCTTTTGGGGTCTCTGTTGGTGGAGGAACGGGCCTTGTGCTGGAAGGAAGCAATGATTCACCCAAAGGCATTCATGTCTAAGAGTAGAATTTCAAGTATCATAACAGGGAAGTTGAAGAGATGCTTCTGAGTGTGGGGAAAGGGTCTCTGCCTATCCTCCACTGCAGACTCTTTGTGTATGTAAAGATGATTCCAACACTACCAGACACTGCCCTCACCTGTCCAGAAAGAGAAGCCTCTTTAAAGAAAGAGGTACACATGTGCCCTCTGATGGTGTCTCCAGGCCACTGTTCCTTCAGTCGCATCTATGACAAAGCCGCCATTCCTTGGCATTGTTTCTTTGAAAGTATTTACGGAGTGTGTCTTTGCCCTTGGTTCTCCCCCTCCTGCCTGCTCTGTTCTGAGACTCTAGATTTGCAGTACAGGATTAGCCCTCCGACCCTTGGACCCACTGAGTGGTCATCCTATTTTCTGAAAGTCTTTCTTTCCCCATATCCTTCCTGTGCTCCAGGGCCCAGAATAGCACACGCTGGTCCGGCCTCCCTGCCTCGCGCTGGATTCCCTCTGCTCTGGGTTTCTTTCCCAGAATAGCCATTCATAACAGGATGGCAGAGTCAACCAGCTCCAAGGCACCAGGCTCACTCAGGAAAACTGAAAACCAACCACAAAAGAACCTTCCCCCTGCCTGCCTGCCTGCCTCCCTCGGGCTCCCCGACTGGGGCACCGCACCTGCAGCGTCTCCACCACGTGGGAGAGGCACTACCTGCCAGTTTCCTTATGAAACCGACAGACCAGACGGGACTGTCACATAGGATCTGAAACTGGAAAACTCCCCAGGCTGCCTCTTTCTGGTCGGGATGAACAGGAAATGGTTTTTTGAAGACTGTGAACTCAGAGGGGGAAATAAAAGTTTTGTGAACTTGAGAGTCGCCGTGATACCAGGGACAGTGAGAATTAGCCGGTTCTGTGGGGAGGCTGTTATCCGCCAAGGACTCTGCAGCGTGAAGGAGTGTGCCCGGGTCAGGTGCGGTGCAGACTTCACCTCCTCTCGTTCTCACAGATGCCCTGTGCGGTAAGTGCTTTTAACCCCTTCTTACAGGCGAGGACACCAAGAGTAGAGACACCACATGATTTGTCTGGCATGTTGGCTAGTGAGAGGGAAAAGAGCGCACGGGCACACGGCTGCCCTTCTGGAGAAGGTAGCTGGAAGATAAGCACAAAAGTGCTTCCTAAAGATACGCTCTGGAGTGGAGTGTGGGTCTGGCGGCAGGCCGGCCAAGTGGGAAGCTGGCGAAGGCGTCTCCTGCTCCCCGGGCCCTTGCTGCCCTCCTCAGCTTCTGGGTGCCCATGGGCTCCCTTGGTCCCATTCCTGCTCGGCGCCCCGTGGCCGTATTCATTGTAAGGGTCACTGCCGGAAAGGAGGGGTTCAGAACGAAGGAACGGAGCCCCAGTGGTGGCCTCTGTGTGGGCGGAGGTTCAGCAGAGGCCTTCCCAGGGGCCTCCCCGCTCCCGCATGACGGGGGAGCTTCCGTGGGCACCAGCTCGGGCGGGGGGGGAGGCTGCCAGGCTCACCTGAGGACAGGAGCTTGTGTGTGCGCAGGAAGCTGATGGCCAGCCGCATGATGGAGGCTTTGTCCAGGTGGGAGCTCACGCTGTGCGGCAGGGGCAGCTCATGGGCCAGCTCGTAGAAGACCTCCGTCTCTTTGCTCCGCCGGCACCTGGCAGCATCCCGGGACTTCTCCTTCCTCCTCTCCGAGCTACTCCTGAATTCAGAGAGGAGAGGTTAGTTCCTGAAACATCACTGTCATCCTCTCACACCCCTGGTCAAGACATCCCCAGGGCCCCAAACTGCGGTACAGCCAGACCCTCCCGCTGAGCGGACGCAGCTCATACCTGTCGTCCGAGCACACGAGGCCTCTGCCATACATCGGCAGCCCCGCCTTCGTGTGTGTTCGTGCTTCTAACTGCCTCCCTCCTCTCGCACACCTGTGTCGCCCACACCAGGGCTTCGAGCACAGACTTGCCGACTCATCACCTGGCAATACCTGCGACTTCGTCCTGGGTTACCTGAGCATTGGGATGAGGACCCCGGGATGGCGAGGGAAGCGTGAGGAGGCTGGGGCCACAGGCGCAGGTGGCTGTGTCAAAGGCCCTGGAGAACACACTGAAAAACTGCTTCGAGGCCCTCTTTCTGGATAAAACGCACTTAGAAAACGTGAAGCCCACGACTGGACCTCAGATCCTATTTTGTATCAGAGAGTGATCTCCACAGTAAAAATTGGAAATGCCATTAGAGCCCAAGCCCGAGAAGAAACAGCCAGCCAGACATCTGTCAGCCTGGTGTCCCAGAGCACACAGCTGTTAAAGGGTTAAAAAGGAGTGAGCACGAACACGTTTTCTTTCTCACTCTGTCAGCATAGGTTAGCAGCCTGTCTCACACTCACTTTCCTATTCTTTGCAGGACACAAGGAACGAGGACACACACCCAAACCTGCTTCTTGCAGGAAATCTTAAAGAAATCCTAAATCTTCTCATAAGATTAAGTTAAGTCCTAACAGGCAAATTCAAAAGCCAGCCTTCCTGGATTGAAATTCTAACTTCTCCGCTTGCCAGCTCTGTACACATCAACTGTTTAAACCGCTCAGACTCTATTTTCTCATCTGTATAATGGTAATAAAGTAATCATCCGACAGAGTTATTGTGAGGATTGGATATGATAATTTATGTAAAATCTTTACCACAGATTTATCCCAACTGTAAGCAATCCATGTTAGCTAATACTAGTAACAAATCTGTCCCTGAAAAAAAAAATGATCATGGGAGTAAAAATGTTACAAGAGTATAGTATAACCTATTTTCATAGGAATATATGTATTCTGCATAATACTTCTTATAGATTACACAGGAAAAAGTCTAGAAATAGAATAAAATAAAAATATTATTCTCATAGCTATATATAGTGTTTACTGTATTCCAGGAGCTGTTTTAAGTACTACTACATTAGGTTCCTGAAACTCTCATAACTGCCCTTGAAGTAGTATTATTTTATCTCTAACTTACGGATGAGGAAAACAGATGCACAGAGACGAGGTAATTCACCTGCAGCCCTTGGGCATGTACGTGGGAAAGTGGCTTTACAAAAACCAGGCAGGTGGGTCCCAGAATCTAGGCTTTTATCCATTAGTGAGGCTAGGGGGGATTATTATTATTTTTTTAGTACTTGTCTATATTTTCTTCTGTTTCTATAAATAACCTGTATTTCTTGTTTAATAAACAAGTTTTTTTTTTTTAAATGTATTTTTCAATAAACTGTCCAATGCAGTTCGTGGTTCTCAAGACCTCCTCCAACCAGCTCCGGCTCGCTCCCTCTGTCCTCCCTTTTGAGATTTCCAAAGCCAGCCAAGGCTTCTCCTTCTGTTTGGTTTTGCAGCCTATTATCTGGCCAGAGATCGGTATTTTGGGATTCACGGATTGTTGACATGCCTCTCAAACCCCTCAAGATTTGGGCAGAGGCACTGTTTCACTTTACAACATGCTTCATTGAAAAAAAACAAAACAAAACAGAGCATCCAGCTCCCTGGATGGATTATGCATCATATACTCAGACTGTGGGAAGAATATCCAGCGGCTGTTAATGGGCAGGGAGAACCTCCAGAAAAATAGTGAAATGGGTGAAACTGTTTTTTCCTGTCCCCTCTCCCTTTGCTGTTTCCTTTCCTGAACTCCTGTTTCCTCCGCTCCCCCCACGTCCATTCTCTGAACCCTCGCCCCCCTACCTGTACCCCACCATCTGCGCTGAGAGCCAGCCCTTAGGACTGGCTTGCTCCCACACCCCAGCTTGAACAGTAGTTTGTATAGGAGTCCCTCCCATTTGCATGTGAATCTTGACCTCTGACCTTGGAGCAAAAGCAACTGTTCGAGGCTTGCAGATGTCCTGGCACAGGGAAGGAGGCTGGGAGGGGACAGGACACCAAAACTGTACACTTCACATCTGTCTGTCATGAGAGCAGGTAAGGGAGAGCCAGCGTCTTCAAGGTGCTGGATTCCATTCTCTAGCACCAACCTGTGCTCCCCGACAAAAGCATCATCAACATATGACCGGTCATTAGGACATCCAGAGAAGTGATCCTGGGCAGAAGGGATCCCCAGCACAGGCTGCGACATGAATACCAAAGTCTGCAGGCACACAGTTTCCCTTTGCTACTGCCCCTTCCTTGGAGTGCAAGAACAGACAAGGCAGAGAGGAAGAGCCAGGGGGTGGAAAGGCAGCCTGGAGTCGATGCTCTGTCTGGCAATGGCATTCGAGACCTGGGTCCTACCATGTTCCCTCGACCACACAGTTTATTCATACCTACTTTTGTGCTTCAACACCGCACCAAGGACCTTACATATATGACATTATAATCCTAACGACAATATGGCAGGTATTGAGGGCACAGTTTACACATGTGGAAACAGAGGCTCAGACGTGAAGTGTAACTTGCCCAAGGTCACAAAGTCAATGCCTGCTTGCCTTGGAGAGCATGCAGTCAGTGAGCAGACACTTAGAAGTTCTGAGACACATGGGTGCTCCGTGTCTAATTCCATCTTCACGACCTGCATGGTGAGATGGGCAAGACACTCATTGCTCTTGCCCCCATTTCACAGATCTGGAAACTGAGGCCAGACCAGGCTAAGTTACTCACCTAGGGCAATCCAGCTAATCAGTGACAGAGCGTGGGCTAGAACCCATCACTTCCTAGGCTAATACTCTTTCCACTGCTTAACCCCAGGAGATAGCGGTGTTAGCAAGAAATAAAGAAACCGCAACATCTTAACATTTAGAAAAAGAAAGACTGAGAATTGCATGCAGCCTCTTGTTCTAAAAGCCATGAGCTCCATTTTAGCTACCTTGTTTTTACAGTTGCACTCTGGGGCTAGCATGACTTTAATTAGATTATCTAGTTAACCTTGACACAGCCCAGAGATATCTGTCTAACGTTGACTCCTGGAAGAACAAAAATGTGTAACACTGCTCTCATTTAATTAGCAACACTGAAGAACAAGCATAATTAACGCCAAGCGTGAAGGTAAGACCTTCCTAATTGATGCATACACAGCCTACTTCCACACGCAGTTTACCTCGGATTGGGCCTCTTAGCAAGTAGAAAAGGAGGCTGGAAGTCAGGAGGACTGGTGTTTTTAATATACTGGCCACAAGACTATCTAACCATGTGATCTGGGCAAGAGAATACATTCTCAGTGCCCCTATATCCTTGTGTGTAAAATGGGAGAGACTCACATCTTATTTGTCAGGATCAAAGGAGATGAGTGTACAAGGGTTGGAAGTACTAGAAAGCTCTCCACAGATGAAAACTATCATGACACCTGGCAAATCTGAGTGTCACATTCAGAGTTTGGCCATAACAGCTCTTCTTCATTGCCAAATCAACGCGGTCCCAGGGCTGGAGGTGTATTTGGGGGTCAGGCTGATCTTGACGAGTTTGTGTTAGATTGCTGAACCTTCTCAGGTCAATGAGGCTTCATTTCCTAAAATACTTGCACTTTATTTTCTCTCCCTAGATAGGTCCTAGAACTACCTGCAACAGACCGGCATTTTTTTTTTTTTTTCCGACAATTCTAGACATGGCACTTTAGAATTCTCTGGTTTCTCGTAAAACAGTGGTTTATCTTAAGTTTTCAAAATCATCAGAAAAGACTCAAATTTATTTCTTATTCCAAACTGCTCTATGAAGTGCCTACTCCTGTCTTTCTTGGTGGCTCTCCTGCAACCACAGGGTGGTCCTGGGTGCACAATATTTGGTGTACGGGACACACAACACAAATGTGGCCCTGGCTAACGGTAACCTCCTGCAGACCCAGAAGCATTTACTGAACTCCGTGCTGGGCCTCGTGCAACTGCACTGCAGATAAGGTGCACCCTGCTTTGTGAGGAGCACATGGTCTTGTTAGGAGCCAACAACCTGAAACACTTCCATTAACCACGGAAATATGTATGGGCAATAAACAGCGTACACGGTTGAGATAAGAAACGAGAGTCAGTCTGAGCAAGGTCACGGAAACCTACCCAGGGAGGCAGGATTTCAGCTGATCCCAGGACATGGAACACCACCCTTACATCGCTTGAGGGTCAGAATCCACTTTCTCCCCCTGTATGTGCTATCTCATTTGTTTCTCATAACAACCCCGAGGGAGAGGAACTAGTATCCCCACTTAATAGATGAAGAGGCAGAGATTTAGAGAGATTCAGTAACTTGATAAAAGACATTGTCTCCAACTGAATACTTCCGGGTCCAAGATCAAAGATTTTCCCACAGGCAGCAAGGAAACTGCTGCTGATCGCACACCTCTGACTTGCTACATGCCGTGTTAGACACTTGCCCACAAATTGGATGCTCACGGACACCACGGGGAGAAGGAGGGGGTGAGGTTTTGAAAAGGACACAGTGACATAAAGATTCTCTGTCCTTAAGTGAGCACCCACTCAGATTGGAAAAAGACCTGGCGACTCAGCAGTAGGATGAAGAGGCACTGAGTTTGCATGGGGTCGGGGAGGAGGGAGGTGTCAGTGTTGTGGGCCTGAGAGGGGTGCAGCCTCCATCACTGCGGTGCTGGGGTGTGGAGACGGGGGTACATTTGACGTGACTCCCTGAAGGCTGCAGGTCCAGCCTGTAGGAATGTTCCTCTCCACACTGCAGGTGGGGAACACATTTCTGTCCTTTTCCTTGACATGTTAATACCTACAAGTTTATACTTACCCTCC